CACAGGGAAGGTCATCTAGGCCTGCGGCTACGGAAGGAAAGCTTCCAAGTGGTCCTCTGGTCTGGGCAGTCTTCTTAGTGATCTGTTTCTAGATACTTAATTTCTAAATATACTCTTCTCTAAAACGTTCTGCTTGGGAATGTTCCTGATTTCTAGAAGTCCTACCTAATTTTCTTTATCGCCTTTGCTTTTATAGTAGACATTCTTCCACTTGATAAAAAGAAAGGTATAGCTCTTACACATTTGGAATTTTACTATGGATGATTGATTGCCCAGTGCTGCAAACCCACAGGTCACTGAACAAAGAGATGGTTAAAATAGTGTGTGAGTGTGTGTGTGTGTGTACATATATTATTCTGGTCAATGTTGGGATGTTCAGAACAATTTTGGGTGACATAGGATTGATTTATCATTCAATGATGTCAATCTCATCTACCTCTGGAAGCTCATCAAAGAATGCTCTGCTACAGTGACTGCATCTCATAAGAGAAACGCAATGACTCCTTTGGAAGAAATGCTGAAGGTCATGATGCTTAATAGTGTGCAAGTAGCAAACTAGGAGCAAGGTAGGTTTTTTTTTAACTTACCTATGTATGCACCCCATCTAACACATACGTCTCCATGTAACTATCTTAAATTGGGTTGAGTTTTTTTTTAACTTACCTATGTATGCACCCCATCTAACACATACGTCTCCATGTAACTATCTTAAATTGGGTTGGGTTTTTTTTTTAACTTACCTATCTATCTACGCACTTATGTCCCCATCCAACACTTACTTATGTCTCCATGTAACTATCTTAAATTCAGAGGGGAGATGATTGTCATGAAAATGCAAATTTAAACATTTATTTGAATTGACGATTGATAATGAGGACTAGCTTTACCAATTAGGTTATGGGGTAGACATTTTCCATGAATCTAATGAGCTAAATCTGTAACTCCAAAATGTTGACAGAGATATATGTAAAATACATAAGATTAAAGCACTTTATCAAAAATTATCGTGACACCAAAGGTTTAGTAAAATTAGCAGTATGTAAATGTTCCTAAACCTTTTGACTTAACAAGGTGCCTCTAGGTGAAAGAGTAAGAGAACAAGTGATTGCCATGAATAAGTTTGGACAAAATCTATTCTCTATATTTTCCAGAAACTAAAAAGAGAGTAAAGACTCTGTGTGACAGTCAGGCAGAAGCTAAGTGTGCGGCTTAGATCTCCTTCTAAGAGAAGACTTACTGTGAGAAGTGCAGTTAGCAGGCAGCGCCCAGCTGCCCCATCTTCAGATCCACTGTTATGATCACACAGACATCACATCTTCCCCGACTACTCACAACCAGTGCCTGAACTGGCAGAGGCATGAGAAATGGTGGCCATTTCTATCAACCCAGGACTCATAACAGGAAACTTTATTCTAGGATTCCCTTTGAGTCTAAGACTGGGCTGTATTCTGAGTCCCTTCAAATCCAATCGCCTCCTCTTCCATAGGTTCAGATCTGTGTTGCATTCTGAAGTGTTTCTCTGCTCCTCCCTTCTTAATCTCTTTTAGGTAGAGCTTCTATAAATCTTTGACGTTTCTAATTCGGTCCTGGAGTCTGCATCCCTGTCTGAGACATTCTAGTAATAAGGCATCCAATCAGAATCCTTTTCAGATTCCGTGCTTTCACAAAGTTGAGAGAAGAGCTAATCAAATGGTCTATTGCAAAACAAACAAACAAAAAAAGGAAGTATCTCTCCAGGAGTGGGCTCAGTGAAGTAAGAGTAATCTCATTCCCCTAGTTCGAGATTAGCTCAGGAACTCAGGCCTAGGCCGATTGCTGTGTGACAGTTTCAGAGATTGATTGGAAAGGGGCGTACATTTCCATCTGGAGAAATGAGACGTGGGAGAATTTTGCTGGGTATCCTGGGAAAGCGTTTTTCTATTCTTAAAATTAGACAACCACGGGAGGAGAGGCAGCTTCCCACTTTCTCTCGACACTGTGTATGTGGATATGAAACTAAAAGCCACCGAGTCATTTGCATTCTGTGTGGAAAGGAAATCAACAGGCAGAGTGCTCAGGAGAGGCAACTGCAGAGAAGCAGAGGTCGAGCAAAGACTCAGCTGGTCGGAAAGCCCACTCTCCTTACGGGCTGTCTAGCTAACTGAGGACACATCTCCTGCAGGGTTCCTGAATATCTACAGTGGTTATGGGCGTTTTCAGCCTAACTTCGTGAGTGGCTATCAGTGTCGCTGATGGTTTTACACACGCTTTAGCCTTCTCTTTCTGCTGTTCTGCTGTTCTCTTATATTGTCCCAGGGCCCCATCTTTTTTCACTTGCTATCAAGGAAGTAGTAAAACCGTGTTGATTGGGCCCCTTCCTCAGCCAGGTTCTGGCATTGCCCACGGTAGGTTTAAACCACACATCTTTGGAACCCTTTCTCGTCCATTGGCTGCACAATGGTTTTCCTTCCCTTCCTCCCAGGCATTAAGCTTCCCCCTGTTTTCAGGGCCTTCTTCATATTTGCTGTTCCGCTCAGCTACAATCTACTGTGCCTTTCCTGTTTGGGTTGTTCTTATCCTCTGTATCTTCAGTTGTCCTTGCACGTCTACTCAGTTTAGACTAGATGCTCCATATTACTCTCTCTGAGGCCTGATGATATCATAGTGCTCTACATAATTTGCAAGTATTCATTGTTTTGGGTGGAATTGTGCCCCTCCCCCCCCCAACAAAGGCTATTACGATTGACGTTCTAACCTTTGATACTGCATAACGTGACTTTATGTCAATATTAAGTCTTCATAGAAGTACGCAAGTTAACATGAGATCATTAAGGCGCAACAGTAGACACGTGACACTGTGTAAAGGGGAAATTTGGACGCAGAGACATAAACAGAGGGAAGGCCGTGTGAAAACGCACAGGGAGAAGTTGGCCAAGTGAGTGGAGTCAGGTGTCTATAAGCCAAGGAATGGTCAGGAGCGACTGCTGGCAAACACTAGAAGACAGAACAGGCCCAAACGCTTTCTCTCCTAGAGCCACGAGGGAGAGTGTGGCCTTGCAGACGTCCTGGTTTCCCATTTTTAGCCTGCAGAACTGCGAGATGACACGTTTCTGTTGTTTTAAGCCACCACAGTTTTGTTTTTTCAATTTTTTTTTTTTTTATAAAGCACCTCTAGGGACTAATCCATGTACTAATTGAGATTTATCTATTATTATTTTATGATACCTCGCTTATTAAACTTTTAGCTTTATGCAGGCAGCTTATGCCACTTTCATTTAGCATTACGGTTTACAGCAGAACAAATGATGGTGCCCGGCACCCCTGAGGAGTGGAATATGTGCAGAGTTAGTGAATCCTTGAACAAGTGGCTGTATGGGTGATGATATTTTAATGCAAAGGGCTTCAAAAGATTTTAGAAGCTCAAATGGATCAAATAAACCAGGTAAAAACAATAATAACTTAATATTAAAGTCCCTAATCATAATACCTCAAGCAGAAAGAGAAAAATTGTGATGCCTAATTATCAAATGCATCATTCAGGCAGCTCTCACTACTTATTAAATTGCATGTTGCAGAACGATTCTCCTTCAGAGGAGAAAGCTTCATTCTTCCAATCCCATCCAAAGATTACCCTGCTGTGTTTTAGAATAAAAAATACAATCTCTTTACTCTCCATGAGTTACATTCAGAGAAGTACAAATATGAGTTCAGATTTTCCCTTTTGAAGGTATGTCATTACAGCCTTCAAGAATTTCATCTGCTCAAGTGGGGGCAAACATATAAATAGCTGTCCCATTTTTCCAGGGATCTCGTCGCCCACAACCTCATGAACATGAACATAAAAACATTTTAAAACCTGGGGTAACCGTGGTATGTGAAAAGAAGAGAAGGGGATGAGGTATGTGGGCATTTTAGTCAGGTCTTTCTATTAATTACTGTACACAGAAATGCACCACTAATGCTCACACACACACACACACATCCATAAACTATAATATGAACCTATGTTTATATTCACATATGATAAGCATTGCATTTTGAACTTTTCTTACTATGACATGCCTTAGTAAAGGTCACCATTATTTTGCCTTATCTCAGGATTCACTTATGGAGAGATTGGAATTTTCAAGTATTTAATAGGTGACCAGGGGAAGCTCAGGCAGAACGTGATACATTTTTTAAATTCAAAGTAAGTAGTCAGGCTGGGCATAGTGCTCATGCCTTTAATCCTGGCTCTTTTCGAGGCTGAAGAAGGAGGATCCTTTGAGGCCAGAAGTTCAAGACCAGTCTGAGCAATATAGTGAGACTCCCATCTCTACCAAAAAAAAAAAAAAAAAAAAAGTAGCACCAGTCAGCTCTTTGCAATTTATTCTTATATCTTACACTTTCTAGCAATGTAGATCTGGCAGATTAATTTCCCCTTTCCACAGATGGGAAATTGGGGCGTAGAATAGTTAACTCACAAGCTCAGAATTTTAAATGCTAAAATGCCTTTTATTTTTACAGTACAATCAGAATTTAATTCCAGCTCTCACAACTCGGAGTTTATCCAAAACCATTATTTTAACATGTAGGAACATGATGTCTACATTTATAGGCTAACTATCAGAATTGGTTTGCTGGAAAGAATCTGTTTCCAGAGAGCCTTCATTTTTCTCCCAAGCTGGGCTACTCATGGTTTACATTGCTGTAACCCTCCCTATGGTTAAAAATAGCTAGAAATTGGGAAAGTTTTCTCAAAGTGCTTACGAGTTTATCAGTTCCTAAGAGTTACATGTTTCTATTTCAGATTATGTAACAGTCAAATTGAATTTGCTCTATGGGGATAAACCTATGTGTGCTGTAAGATAGACCTTTCCAGGAAAACAATTATGTCCTCCTAAGATCCTTTATTTTTTTAATGTTTAACTTACATTGCGGCCTTTTTAAAGAAAAATAAAAGGAAATGAAGTGATTTTTCCAAAGGTCACAGAAAGAAATGTGAAAGAGTCAGAACATAATCCAAAGTGTGACTCCGTTGCGCGCTCAGGCAGCACATACGCTAAAATTGGAAGGACACAGAGAAATGAGCGGGGCCTCTGCACAAAGGATGACGCGCTAATTCAGGAAGCATCTCATGTTTAAAAAAAAATAATTAAAATGCAAGTTGTCTTTAAGGTTGAAGTAAACAGCAGACTTTATATACATTATCTAATACATTCTTTCAGCATGTGCCTTCCCGATAACGGTATCACGTTGGTATTTAAACTTTAGTGTTTGAACTGGAAGCGTTAGCATCCCCCAGAAGCTTGTTAGAAATGCAGAACCCCAGGCCCTACTCAGACCTACTAAATCAGATTCTGCTTCTTAACAAGATCCCTAGGCGACTGGGTGGGTGTCAAAGTTTGCGAAACAGTGGTCTATGGAACATGGCTGTTGGAAAATGACCTGCGTTATGCTTGAGCCATTATTTTTGAGTTTGGTCCTCATGGACAAAATAATTTTTTCAAGTTCCAGTTTCCTCATGATAGAAATAATGGTACCTCTGCTTCTGCACTGAAAGAAAGTTTAAATGAGGAAATGAAAAGAAACAGATAATGAAATGGCACATAAAAGTGACTCAATAATTGACAGATATTTTATATAGTGACATATACTTAGATGGCATAAGTTGAGTATCTCTCTTAAAATTACACTTACTTTATGCTTATGATAGGGTTGGAATACCTGAAAAGGATATGCCTCTTCTTTTAAAATAATTAATCAAATCGTGGAATCAAATATTGACATCCCAATCAACGTTTATATTCCTTCTATCTTGTACTCTTTAGCCAAGACCTTTTCAACCTTTATTCAGATGTTAAAAGTACTGATAGCTTGAGGTGTGTGTCTGTAGGGTAGGCAGGTAGGGAAAACGCTGAGATTTAAGCGTTTATTTAGGCCTTCCTGGGCTTAAGGTAAAACACAACAAACTTACAGAAATATAATCAAATTGATCAAGCGGGGTGGAATGCAGATTCTGATCATTTTTGGATTTCATCAACTGGTATAGTTACAAAAAAAATGTAGGAAAAGAAACTCAAGTATTAGTCAGGATGAGTCAAGAAACTCATGGAGCATTAGTCTCTGTAAAAAACAGAGAGAAGGCACAGATTTATTATAAGAAATAGCCTCACACTATCATGGAGACTGACAAGTCCTGATATGTATAGTCAGCAAGCTGGAGTCCCAGGACAGACAATGGTGTGATTCCGTCCAGTGACTGGCAACTGCGGGGCCAAGGAAGAACTGATGTTTCAGTTCAAGTCCAAAGCCAGGAAGTAAGTCAACACTCCAAGTTCAAAGCCAGCCAGGCAGAAGGCTTTCCCTTTCACTCAGCTGATCTATATCATTCAGGCCTTCAACTGATTGGAGGTAGCCCACCTACATTAGGGAGGGCAACCTGCTTTACTCAGGCTATGGATTTAAATATTAGAACTCTTCTAAAAATAGTCTAATGGAAAGATCTGACAAAATATCTGGGCACCCTTTGGCCTAGTCCAGTTGACACTTAGCCTCCACAAATGGTTTAACTTTATGCTTTGCCAAGTAAGGACACTACTATTGTCATTCTCTTGTAAAAGAAGAGGCATATCCATACCTTTAAAAAGAGGGGCTTAAAAAGATACAATTTCAGAAAAATTTGTAGATAAAATTAAGTTTGGCCATATGAAAACTGGAGTGCATTGGTCCTTAATTTTCTCATTTTTCTATGGACCAAAGTAAACCCTGCCAGGATGAAACTATTGAGATAGATGTCAGGGAGCCTAGGGAAATGGATAGAGACCTCTGCTAAACTCAGAGATGACGTGAACAGGCCTTGATTTTCTGGTTGTGCCAGTGAGAAGATGGAAGAGGTGATGAAGTAGAGAGGGCAGTCGTGGGGGAGTCACTTGCTCCTTTGACCTGATCTCTTCTCCTGTGATAAAGGTTGATGGAGATAACATTAGGGTCTGGTGTTGAAATGCCGCATTCCTAGAATGTTCAGACTAAGCAGATCTGTGAGGTGACAGAAAAACAACAAATCTCAAGAGTTTAAGCCTCGGGGACCTGGTGAATGCTGCTGCTGCAGACAGAACATTTTGAAATCGTACTGCCCCTACCAGGTAGTAGTTCTGGTCTCTCTATAGTTCTAAGAAACCCCTGACTGTTCCTTTCTTTTTCAGAAGAGAAAGAAAACAGGATCAATCCTATTTAAAAGCAAAGCAAAATAAAATAAAATGGCAAATTAAGCCCTATGCAAAATACCTGGAGAGAAGGAAATAAATGGGAGTTAACACTATTGCTTCAGCTATGAAGGTCTTGTTGACCTACTGTATATTTGTGAACGTTTTAAAATTAAAACAAAAATCCTCTTGTCTGACCCAAGTTCCCAGAATTAAGAGGTGCACTGTTCAAGGGGAGAGTCTAGCAACAGCTGATTAATTACAAGATCAATTACAAGATGCAGTCACTTGAAAATTAAAGGTGTTTAAATCCCATTTTTCAGAGACTAGCTTGGCTTATGATACCTGGAAATAGAAAACAACTTTCCACACAACAGATTAATTTTATTCTTAATTTTCAAATCTTCATGAAACTGTATATTGAACTTGATCTTCAGTTGATAATGGATGTAGCATTCTTTCATTATTCTATACATGTTCATATAATGATATATTTGAACATATGTGTAAAAGATCACAGCTTTGTCACTCAATATATTCTTCACATCAGTGTGCTTTCAGGGAATCTCAATTCAGTATTTTATAGCATAGGAAAATATCTTCTGTACTGAATTCTTTATTCAATTAAATGTAATGTAAAAGTTTTTTGTTTTTAATACAGATGCATGCACTAGCAATTCTAATTTCAGTTTTGTACTATTTCTTAGCTAATGGAATTATGATTAACTTCCTATGTAATGATATGTGCTAGATTAATGGGATATATACACTTTAATCTCTAATACATACTTTTTTAAAAAACTATTTTTATATTAACTTTTCTTATTGAAGAATTTTAGACACAAGAATAGCGTTCATAAATGCATTTACATTTTGAATAGATAAAAATCTACATTCATGTAAAATCACAGCATGGACATGTAATATAGGCCATACCCTGGTTACAGATGGGATATGGTCCTGAGAATGTCTTTAGATCAGGTTTGTATGTGACTCGGATCTCTGACGGACAGCACATACACTGTAATAACAACAATATTATAATGGCTTAATGAGGTAACAATAATAAAGTGAAATACTATAATAATAAAAATGCCCTTGTACTTTAAAAAGTTACAGAAATGATTGTACTCTTTCTTTTAATCGAAATTAACAAAACAAGAACAAAATCATACAAAATGTCTGCATATGAGATAGGAGCAATTTCAAAAAAGCTTAACACTCACCTGATGTTGCACTAACACTAGGCTCATAGGAATGTTACACTTCTTTCACTCTTCTAACCAAATCAATAAAAACCTTCCCATTGTTTCAATAATTAGTCCATGCCAATATTTAGTAATAATCCATGCTTTCCACGGAGGACTATATTTCATGGGTTCCATTATTCTCACTTTATTCTTCATAATCCTTCTGGTAATCGAGCAGCTAAAGCCTAACCAATGAATGACGGCCCCTGGCCTTTCTCTGGATGCTTAATGATTTCTACTTTCATTTCCATTGTCTTCACCTTTCTCTTCTCTGCAGGCTCACCTGGACCTGCCGTGGACTTTCACTTTGCAGGAACGGTCACAGGGTGAACACAGACTCAGAAAATCACATAAAAAAATGAGGAGAAAAGTGATGCTTTGGGTAGGTGACCATATCAACAATGAGACTAGTGCTGGGATAAAGCTGTTGCACTAATGAAGTGCTTACACCATGCGGTTTGGTTTACATGTGCAGAGGAAAACTAGGAAAATTATTAAGTATTATTATTATTTTTTGGCCGGGGCTGGGTTTGAACCTGCCATTTCTGGTATATGGGGCTGGCACCTACTCCTTTGAGCCACAGGTGCTGCCCTATTAACTTAATTTTTTAATTACAAATTCTCCTGATGGGGAGACTTGGGAGCTGGTTTGTAAGTGTGGAACACCGATGTGCAGCATCAGCTGTAGCCTGCAGACCACCTGTATATTAGTTTACCTTCCCCAATGTCACTCTTTCTTCAAGGTCAAGCACCCTCTTCTTCTGGATGGTGAACATCTAACATGTGGTTGAATAAAAACTAGATTTCTCTGTGGCCATAACTTCTCTGTCTGCTGCAATTCCTGTAAGAGCAGGAACTGACCTTGGCTATACTGATAATAGCATCACAGCTCCTAGCCACCAAAATTGGCCGGGGACAAGGAGAAAGGCTGGTGTAAGGGGGGCTTGGCTGTACGCCACCAGGTTCTTAAGAGTTTAAAATGCATTGATGCTGGGGGCGATGCCAGTGGCTCAAAGGAGTAGGGTGCCAGCCCCATATACCAGAGGTGGCGGGTTCAAACCCAGTCCTGGCCAAAAACTGCAAAAGAAAAAGAAAAAGCACTGATGCTGGAAGAGCAGAGCTCTTTCCTTCCCACTTGCAAAGCTGGGCACTCATGAGCCAGGAGCTCCTAGCAGACGTGAATCTAGCCCAGGATTTCTCAGCTCAGCAGCACTAACATTTTGGGTCAAGAATTCTTTGTTGCCTGGAGCTGTCCTGTGCGTTGTAAGATGTTTAGTGACAACCTTGCCCTGGTCTACTAGATGCCAGTAGCATCGTCCTTCCTCCTGTACCAACCAAAAACATCTCCAGGTTCTGCTGTCACCTGGGAGTCCAGGTGGCCCCCAGCTGGGAAGCAGAGAATTAAGGTCTTGTAAAGAAAGCAGGAGTTAAGTGAAGGTATCCATTCAAGAAACCATTCAGAGATAGAAAGAGAAAGAGGCCTGTTCAGGCCCAGGTATGCCCAAATATACCCTTTTCTTTTGGTTATATAAACTCATCCATTCCTTTTCTTTCTAAAGTAGTTTGGTTTGTTCTTTTGTCAAGTATAATAATAATAATATTTCTGAAACAAAACGAAGAGAAGACAGGGCAGTATAAAAACTAATCAAACAATAGAACTTGATCAAAACCAGTATCGTGAATTTTGAAAAAACATATAAGAATTTATAAACCTCCATACAGCAAAGAAGATAAAGAAGCTGATTATGAGAAAGGTGATCAAGAGCGTAAGTGGCACCTCAGAGGTTACAGAGCAATATAAAATTAACCTCAAAATAGTCTTAGAATGGGAAGAAAAAGGTGGGGGAAAAACACATTTTCATCACGTCTTCCTGGGATTATACATAAGCTAAGTAATGATTTTTTAAAATTTCAGAATATTACGGCGGTATAAGTGTTTGGATTACATGAATTGCTTTTATGCAGTTTGAGTTACAGTTGTGTGCCCCTCCCCCAGATAGTAGTGTGCATTGTACTAATAGGTGTGAATTTACTCCCCCCCCCCGTCCCCTCCCACCTGCTTGCTTTCTCTGGATGCTTAATTATTTCTACTTTGGTTTCCATTGTCATTACCTTTCTCTTCTCTGCAGGCTCACCTGGAGAGTTTTACTACCATATGTGCACAGGGTATTGACTGATTAGTTCTAATTTAATAGTGAATACCAGGCTGTTTTGCCTTATAGTGTAGCTTAAAGTCTGGCAAAGTGATGCCCCCTGATTTGTCCTTTATGCTCAAGGTTGTTTTGGCTATTTGGCTTATTTTCTGGTTCCATACAAAGCATAGAATTATTTTTTCTAGATCTGTGAAAAATGATGTTAGTATTTTAACGGGGACTGCATTGAATCTGTAGATCACTTGAGGTAGTATAGACATTTTCACAATGTTAATTCTGCAGTTCCATGAGCATGATGATTTTTCCTTTTTTTCTATTTAAAGTGTGTGCATGTGAGTATCTGTGTTGTTTCTTGTTCTCTAGAAAACAAATGTTTTCTAATCAATCAACTGCCAGAAATTTTTAAAAAATAAGGAAAAATTCAAATTGTGAATGTGAGTTTCTCTACCTATAAACCAGACAAGTTAAGAAACACACAACCCAACTTAAAAAGTGAGCCAAAGATTTGAATAGATATTTCTCTAAAGAATATAAATGGCTAATAAGTCCATGAAAAGATGCATCAGGGAGCTGCAAATAAAAAGAATGAGAGATCACTTTATACTCACTAGGATGACTATAATAAAAAAAATCAAATAATAACAGGTATTGGTAAGAACATGGAGAATTAGAACCCTTAAACATTCCTGGTCAAATGTAAAATGGCACACCCACTTGCAAAACATTCTGGCAGATCCTCAAATGGTTAAACAGTTATAATACGACCCAGCAATTCCACTTCCAGGTATGGGGCAAATAGAAGTGAAAATGTGTACACAAAAATTCACACACCAAGGTTTATAGCAGCATTACTCATAATGGTCAAAACTGGAAACAAGCCACATTTCCATCTCCAGTGACAGAGCAGACAAATAGATAAAAATGTGATATGTCCACACCATGGAATATTTTTGGCCATAAAAAGTAATAAAGTATTGACAAACATTACAACATAGATGGGCCTTGGAAACCTCATGTGACGTGAAAGAAAGCCAGTCACAAATATGACATGATTCCCTTAACATGAAATATCCAGAATAGGAAAATATTTAGAGACAAAAAGCAGATTTGTGCTTCCTCAGGCCTGGGGGGCTGGGGGCTGGGGGCTGGGGGGTCTAAGAGCTAAAAGATGTGGGTTTCTATTGGAGGGGATGAGAAAATGGAATAAAAGTGAATAACTATGAACAAGAAAGTGGCTACGTAAGTTACTGTAGATTCATGCCCGTGGAATATTGTGCAGTCATTTAAAAAATAGAGCTATTTTTTACTCTGAAGGATTTCTACAAGGTATTCTTGAAGAAAGGCAAAATAACATCTCACTGTTATAAAAACTACAAAAGATAAAAACCATGTGTGTGTGTAGGTCTGTGCAGGTTACATGTATCATGAGCACGGTGGAATGTATGTGTAGGAAGGGGTGCATGCTAGGGAGCATGGGTCACCCCGGTGGCTGTGCATGTTGGGGAGCAGTCATGTGGATACAAAGGAGAGGGGGAGGGAAGGAATACAACGCTAAAGAGGAAAAGAAGGTGCTGAACTTAAAACACAATCCCCACCGAATCGTTGCACGACCAGACTGACCACCATTTCTCTGCCATGTCTTCTGAGCGTACTGTGTGATTTAACAGCCTGTGAGGGAGAGACTATTATCTCCACCTGTGCATTATCCCCATTCGAGTTTGAGATTATTATCTCCATTTTCTCCAGATGGGGAAACTGAAGTTCGGAATAATTTAATTATCTCATTTAATTTAATTATTTAATAGCGAGGGCTCCCACCTGAGATTTGTTTAGGCTACCAAGCCTGATTGTGCCACACACACACACCAAGAAGGTATGAAATGGTTTATGAAAAGAGGATTTCTAGGGAGAGCAAGCCTGGCTTCTCGGGCTGATTTGAAAATGGGTTGAGAGAGCTGGGAAAGGACAGGTTGGGGGTTTTATGGGAGTTTGGATTCCCACAGGCAGGAAGGGGCTTGCACGGTGTGACTTCCTTCCTGTCAGTGCCAACAGGAGGGAGCACGGGGCCTTCTCAGTAGCTTGCCCAGAAGAGGAACAGAAGGGAAAGACGGAGAGCTGATACTTAAAAGCTGTCAGCAAATATCAAGCAACAGCCTCAGATTTTTTATTACAAATGATGAAAAAATTATGAATGCCCATGTTTAAGAAAAAGGTTTGGTGTTATATCTGGATATGTGTATGTGATTCTCTTGTTTTAATTAAAACAATTTAAATGGCTAAGTTTTTTTCTTAATACCATTAAGTGATAATTGCCAAACTAAAGTCATGCATGTAACATGCAAGACCAGATCACTTAAATTTTGCTGAAAGTCTTGAGTAATATTTGTTTCCAAAAATTAAATAGCCAACATATGAATTTCTTCATATAACTATTTAATTCATGTTAACCACTCTGAAAGATGAATCTTATTAGAATGTAAGCTCTGAGAATGACTAGTGAATCTTTTTCATCACTTTAGGGCACAGATACAACTGTGCCTCAGAAGAGTAGAAACTTAATGAATGAGTGGGAAAAAAACTTGATAAACTTGATACATTTTATCTTAAAAACAAAAACCAAAAGTTAGATGTGATTTGTAAAGAGTTTGTAAGAAATACCAAAAAGTTGTATACGTCCTAGTGGTAATACGATTATTCAAGAGTTTCTATTGTTAGAACTCAAATAGCAATTTAAAATCTATCTTGGAATCGTTTTTTTTGATTGTGGAAAACAATTACTTTTAACACATCAAATTTTGAACAGTTATCATTAATGTTTAATAATGTTAAATCATTTCTTGTATTTACTTCGAATTCCTAATGGCAAACTCAACAGTATTTCAGAGGAAAGGATAATGAAATATAAGTGAACGCATGGTATACTTGTTAACATATGCAGAATTCATATCAGAATCTGTTTTAGAGGCTGGAGCTACCGGTAGGAAAAGAACATGTTGCAAGCGACCTTTCCATATTAAACTTTTTATTAAAACTGAGTCTTTACAACACTGTCATGTTCCACAGTCAAATATTTAAAAAAATTTCCATATGCAATTATTGGCACACAAATTTAAGAACATAATTATAATGAAGCTAAATCTCTGTATCTGTATATCAATTTAGATATATATCTACATAGATATATATCTCTCTCTTAATTTATATCAATGACCTGGAATACCTGAGTTTTCAAGTTATTGGTTTTCCAGATAGTAAAAAACACCCTCCATCCATTTCATAAAGGACATGGCAGACCTAGAGAGAGTAGCTTTGGTTGATAGATGCTGTCCCCAAAGATCAAACGGAAGTCCTCCTCCATAGGATTAAGGATTCTCTTCAGAGACTTCTTCCAAGTGGAGGTCGGTGTGTGATGTAAGGAATGATTCCCACGTAGCAAGGCACTGAATAACAGAAACATACCAAGAAGTGAGCAACAAGGGATCCCTTTTGGTGTAAAAGCATTACCAAATCCTGACATGTCTGTTCCTACAGCAATCTGCCATGCTCCTTCCCCGCCCCCGGCTTGCCAGAATCCTTGTCATTTTCTACATATTTTAGTTCTTAATGGGGGGTAGTTCTTGCTAAATATGGGAAAAACCATTTAACAGTGAAAAGATTAGCAAGAATTAGTGTGCTGAAATAATTCACTACGATCCCAGTGTCAGGAAAGAAACCAGAGCTCTACATTTTAGAGAAGAAGGTGGATCCCTTTGGATCTGAGAAGCAGGCACAGGCATCAAGGCAGAGCACTGATGAAATGTGCGTGCTTCAGTCCGATTTGAATCCCACTGCATCAGTGTGAGTTTGGGAACATGGATTAGCCTTTATTCCAGTTTCTTCAGCTGTAAATTGGGATAATGACAGTACTTACCACTATGGCAACTGTGAAAATTTTATATAGTCTATACAAATATCTACGCACAATGCCTGGCCAAAATAAATGCTCAGAAGTTAGCAAGTCTGATGGTCTGCTGGGAGTGGGATTAGAGGAATCCCACTTGGTAAGAATTGGTCATTACTGTGCCAAAGTAAATGAAATGGGATTAGAAGGGTTTGAAGGTGGTGGGGTCACCCAAACATAAACACGGCCTGCTTGATTTTTGTCCAGAGCTGATCCTCTTAATAGACCCCTCAGGTACTGGTATGAAGTTCATCTGCAGCAAAATTTTTTTCTTCTAAAACATACTTATTTTAATGCATTTTTAGTCTAAGTTATAATTAGCTAGGGAAGAAATTATGCTTTTTCTCAAATGAGGTTATGTTGCTATATATATATATATATTTTTTTTTTCTATAAATGAGGTCAGACAGTTAAGTTCATGAACTGATCTTAGAAAAAGTGCTCTATACCTCACTGCTGAATGTCATGATGCCCACCTTTGCAATAGTCCTCTTGGCCATGTGGTGACTGTAGTGATATTCAGCACTGAGGTATGTAGCACCTTTTCTGGGACGAGTTCGTGAACTTACTTGTCTGACCTCGCAGTATGCTCTGAAGCCAGACTAATTAATAACACTGGTCTTCTTGGCTAAACCACGTCCATGTCACTTTTTTATTTTCCTCTACTCCTTGTATGGCCTCAGCGTGTGCATTTCTGAAAAACGGTACTAAGTGAGAGATCAGAGATTTCTCAGACACTACAAAAACTCAAAATGTCCAAAGCTGCTAAATCACAAGTGTGCTGCATTCCAAACGCATGCCTGTATATATACGGGCGTGTGTGCACGTATATACACACATGCAGTGGTTTTCAAACTGAAAATTTATAATATGGGAAGTATTGTGCAAAATCAAGTCTTTATGAAGATGATATACAGCTATTTAATTATAAGATAGTCTCTTAGAAGAGCCTAAGAAATTAATCATACAGCCAGAAGATGTACATTTGCATGAAAATAGTAAAAAAAATACTGCTGTCAGACCTATTTGTCAAATAAAAAAAGATACTGGGTAAAAAAGTATTTATTTTGTGATATGTTTATTTTGAAGGCCAGGCTTAGAGTAATGCAGATCTCATTAAAATAGTCACTTCTATTAAGACTTTAAGAAATATTTTTGCTTTTTGGGAGCCAAGTATGCTCCAACCACAGTCACTGTAATGAATCTGTCTGGGACTTGCTTTTCTCCTCCAATAAATTTACCAACTTTCTGATATCTGCTTACTCAGATATATAATAATAATAACAACAACAACAACCTGTCTCATAGGGATAGAGAAAAAAATAAGAGAGGAGAGTAGGCAAGGAGTGGGTAAGGAAGAGAGAGAGAGACAGACAGTTTTACAGGAATGAACTGGTAAGACTGACTTCCTCGTACCCAGCACAACAGATGATACCAGATGTCTTTAAATAAATACACCTAAATCACTATACCCATTAAAGATCACAAAAGACATTTCGCATTTAATATATTTTTCTATTTTTGGTTCCTAAAGTAATTTATAATTGTCCAAACTATACGTGATTTGGAGAGTGGCAGGGTGGGGATAAAAATCCATTCATTCAATAAATATTTTTGAGTTCTTAAAATATGCCAGGCATGAAGATACGTATTAGGAAACAGACCTTGACTTCATAGAAATGTGATTTAGTGAGAAACACAAGTAAAAGCAGATAAAAGCAACAGCAGAGTCCATAACATTATAAAGTATGATGGTAGTGAACAGCGGTTAATCTAAGTTAGAACAGGGGGTTCTAACTAATGTTTCCTCGTGCAAGTGATCACTCAGTTGAGACTGAAAGATCAGCAGAAGGTGAGCCCCATACATCTCTGCATGTTTGTGGAAGAGCAACTTGGAAAAAAAGTAGAGTGATCAAGGGTGGGCCCTGTGGCTCAAAGGCGTAGGGCATTGGCCCCATATACTGGACGTGGTGGGTTCAAACACAGCCCTGACCGTAAAACTGCAAAAAAAAAGGGTATGATCAAGAACTTGGGCCCAGGATTTCTGCTGCTAAACATGATGGTGAGACTGGGTTAGACTTTTCTGACTAAATAAATAAACAAGGCAGACACAAATTAAGTGAAACAGTGGTTTTCATGACCCTGGACAATAGGAAACAACAGAGATTGATCCCTGAGAAAAGAATCAAATGTGGCAAGTCCTAGGGTTATCGTCATGGTAGGGGCTGAATTCTGTTCCCTAAAAGTCACATGTTGAAACTCCTAGCACCTCAGATGTGACTTTAATAGGAGCTAAGGCCTTTAAAGAGGGAATTCAGCTAAAATAAGACCAGAAGGCTGCGCCTTCACCGAATCTGAGTGGTGTTCTTATAAGAGAAAGAGATTTAAACACACAGAGAAACACCAGAGATCGGAACAAAAAGAAAAGACCACGTGAAAACACAGCAAGAAGGCCAGCGGGGGCCTTAGACAAAATCACCCTGCTTATGCCTGGTTTGATCTTGCTTCCAGAATCTGTAACTGGGAGGAAAAAATTGCTGCTGTTTAATCCACCTGATCTCTGGTATTTTCTTACGACATTCCTACCAATCTGATATATCAGCTCACTGCCTGAAGATAACTTCCAGGCCATGGGGAAGGGAGAAGGACTTAGATATTATCTGGCTCACTCCCTCAGTTGAAGAGATGGAGCTGAGGGTCAGAGAAAAATGCAGCAGGAGTTTGTAGACCAGAATACCAGAGAAGGGAGAGGGCACAGAGAGGAAACCTGGAGATGTGCACGGGGCGTCCCATGAACGCTCAGCACAGCACTGCATGTGGGGAACCTATCTGAGACTGGAGAGGAAGCCATAGGAAAGCGTTGAACAGCGCCCAGCATTCTCAGAGGGCCTGGAACGGTGCAGCCCCACATCAAACAGACCATACAATCACAGCATTCATGAGATACTGGGTAGAATACATGGAGGTGTCTTGCCTCAGTGTGGGAAATAATTATTCCTAGACTAAAAGCTAAATTGTTAGGTGCCATCGAACAATTTTTAAAAGCAAGACCCTAAAGATTCAAACTGTTTCCAGATAACGGAGTCTCAGAACAAAGATTAAGAATGGTTATAGGAAAACAAAATACCCAACATACAACGAGGTAAGATTCACAATGTTTGACATCCGATTAAGATTATGGGGAATGCAAAGAAGCATGAAAATATAAGCTCTAATGAGAGTAAAAATCAACCAATCAAAACTGGCCTGGAGTTGACAAAGCTGTTAGAATTAGCAGAAAAGGAAATTAAAACCATTACTGTGCCTGAGTTTCAGATGCTGAAATTGTTAAGAAAGGCCTGGCCTAAACTGAACACCTAGAGCTGAAAATTACAGTGTACGACATGAAATATACCCTGGAGAGGATTAACAGAATGTGAAACAATGCTTAGAAGAACAATTCCTATGAAATAGCTAAAACACAAACATACACAGAAAAAAAGAATCAAACAACAACAAAAGAAATAGCATCACTGAGCTATTATAACTTGAAATAGCAAAATGTACATGTAATTAGAATCGCTAAAAAGGTGAGAGGCAGAAAATGTATTTGAAAATAGAAAGGCCAGTATTTTTCCAAACTGGATAAAAATAATAAAATCCATGAACCCCAAACCTAAGATATAAGAAGAAAAATTCATAAAGCCACTCTATAACCAAATTGCTCAAAACAGGTCATTAGTAAAACATTTAAAGAAGTCAGAGAAAAGCAATAATGTTATGTTGAAAGGAAGAAAAACTAACAGCATTTCTCCCCCAAAATAATATAAGGAAGACGAAAGAGGACCAATGTCGTTAAAACAATGAGAAAAAATAAATACTGGGAATCTGGAATTCTATGCCCAACAAAAATATCTTTCATAATCAGAGGTGGAATAAAGGTGTTTTCAGGGATACCAAAGGTACAAAATTTATCACCAGTAATCACACTAGAAGATACAATTTTTTTTAAAAAGTTCATCACAGATACAAAAAATGAGACCAGCTAAAACTATAGATCTATACGAAGGAATAGAGAACATGAGATATAATAATTATATGCGTATATAATATAAACTTTTCTTATTAGTTAAATTTATTTAAATATAATTGGCTACTTAATTAAAAATAGTAAGAAGATTTTGTATAGCTTATACAAGGTGGCCATCAAGTTCAAGTGCAACTTTACACCCACCTTATATATGAGGTTGGATAATTAAGTTTGTAAACTCATTCTAGAAGAAGTGTGACATACCTCATTACTGAATATCACAACCGTCCCCATCTATGCACTGTTGCCAGGGCCTACTCCACCTTTCAAAGTAATTTTGGAATGACTTCTTTTCTAGAATGGCCGTCACAGCTGTCGTCATACAAGTTCCCATAATTAAGTTCATAAACTTGTCCTAGAAAAGGAGCTACATACCTCACCGCTGAAAATTGCCACAGTCACCAGATGGCCAAGGAGGGTACTTTGAAGGT